AATGATGGTGATTTATGAGTAGGACAAAATCAATAATAAAAATCACTAAATAAATGATGATGATGTTGCTGATGATCATGAAGATGATTATGATATTTATATAGTGACTATGCCTAAGCATCCAAATCTACTCTAGGCACTAAGAAATTTCATCTTGCAATTTGTTTAAAACTTTTGAACGTATCGGTTGTACATGTGAAGTGAACCTTACAGAAGAGAAGCTTTCTTTGCACATATATAACATACCTGCCAAATGCATTGATTTTTGTTAGCTAGTTTATTTAATAAACCATATTCTTTGTTTCAGTTTACAGTACAAACCTAGAAAACTGTTGAGTTGCTTGTGCAGGTCTTTCTGATCAATGTCACCTGCATTTTGCTTCATCTGCCTGGACAATACTTTGAGCACTGTGTATGTCATCTCTGGGCTTGATGTTCTCAGTTGTACCAGCAGTTTGGGAAGGGTGCACAGCCATTGTTTTAATGGACGCTGCCAACCCATATCTTCTTGTGTGCTGTTTATCAGTGAAGAGAGTTTGCCAAGAAATAAAGGAATAATTTTAATCAATTCACATATTCAGGCAAGAAAATTGTATAAATTGACACATAAAGATTATATATTACCACCTGGATGGACTGATGGGTGGGTAGGTAGATTGATGGGTTGTGGATGTCTAGATGGAGGTACTGATGCATGAGGGTGGAGTGATGGGTGGGTACAGTGTAGGTACTGTAGATTGATGACTGGGGATATCTAGATAGAGGTATTGATGGGTGGGGGTGGAGTGATGGTTGGGCACAGTGTAGGTACTGTAGATTGATGGCTGGAGATGTCTAGATGGATTACCTGATTGAAGGATGGATGGGGGGGAGGGGTGAATTTATAGATACTTTACGTGAATGGAAAAAAAGGACCAATAGAGTTCCTTTCCTCATGTCAGGATCAATGAAATCAATACAATAAACTTACCCGATGACAGGCTCTTGCCTTCTTATCAAAGTGCCAAAAAACTTCAGCAACATGTTCTTTACACCAGATAATAAGTGACTTGACTTGTACAACTTGTACAAAGCACCCAAGATCCTCGCAGCTGAGTTACTTTCCTCTTGATTATCTGCTCCTTGCAATACCTTCTCTACATAAACCAAAAAGCCTTTGAGTTGATCAAGACTAACTTTATCTCTAAAGGTTTGCTCTAGAGACTGAACCACAAAATCCTCCAGTTGCTCCATCATGTTTTCACTTGCTTGTTTACCAGACACTGATGAAGTGTAAATGAAATAAGACATCACTTCACAGACAGAAATGTTTAAATTCAAGGTTGAATTCTCAGAATTTGCTTCAGGTAATTTAGCTTTGCCTTTGGCCTTTGAATGAAGAGAATCCTGGAAAGGAAACAGCTTCATGAAATGCGTGTTGAATTCTTTGAAGTATTGTGATACAAGCCAATTCCTTAGCGTATCTGAGTCACCATCTCCTTCCATCTTGAACAACTTGTGAAGAAGAATCTTCAAAATGTTCATGACAGTCAACATGATTGACAGGTTGACAGCTGGTAGCGCATTATCAGGGAGTGACGTTGATAGCTGCGAAGGATTACATTCAACCCAAAACTCCAGAAGAAGTGGAACAATCTTTTGCATGAACTCTTTAACATCAGAATTACCACTCATTTCTCTGTTGTCTTTATTATTTTGCCCAATATTTTCCAGAGAAATCTTCTGGTCTCCAAAAGAAAATGTAAAAATCTTGGATCCTTTTTCATTTTCATAAAGTAGTGACCTATAAGTCAACTTTGTTTGGCTAAATCTTAAACACTGACTACTTGAGACAGACTCCATTGTAAATTCTGTCTGAGTTTGGGCTATAATTTCAGCATTAAGTGCCTTCAAAAATTCATATAATTGAGTCAAAATTTTAAGTCTTGCCTTTGGTGAGGACAGTTTACCTTTTGGATTTACAGCAATTTTAGTGCTGCCTTTTGAACTCTTTTGGTTAAGGGTTCCTCCACTATGTTGTGAAATTAAACCAATAAAGTTATCAAGAAGTTGGCTTGAATTTGCTGAAATTTGTTTTGGGAACAGCTTCAGGAAAAGAGAGAAAAACTCAAGTGATTCAAGCTGAATATCCTCATAGATATGTGACATTGCACAGCTCAGGTGTGCTACAAGAAGTGGAAGGAAGGGAGCTGCTTGATCGCATGGGAGATGAGGAAGAATATAACGTAACAGTAGCAAAAGTGAATGACGCACATCTGAGTCTGTATCTGTCATTTTTGCAGCAATAGGACCTAGGATTAAACTTAGATTTTCTTGAAAAATGTGAATGTGTTGTTGAAAAAGGCTTCTTAATCCAAGAAGGGCTTCTTGTCTGACTGTTGGACTGTAGTGGCTTAGGTGAGGAATCAAATCCTGAAAAAGGATAAAATTAAGAGCATGATCATTGATAACATTACAGATATGTTATTTACCGGCCAGGAGGTCCGGATAGGGAAAAACTGTGCCCAAGGTCTTGAATATACGGACCAAGGCCGTTAGGCTGAGGTCCGTGTTCAAGACCGAGGGCACAGTTTTTCCCTATCTGGACCGGCTATAGGTTGGTAAATAACTTATTTATTTTTTCCCCGTATTTTTTTACTTGTTTTGATAATTGTTTTGTGTTGTCGTTTAGCAGCAAAGGATACCGGACCGTGCGCATGGGCAGATACTAACAAAATACCGCCCGCTCAAACAGCCAATCAGAACGCACGATTTTTTTGGATACCGGACCGGAAAAAAATAAACTAAGTTATCATTCCTATGATCGGGTCTCAAAATAGCGGCCTGCCAATGGCCAAATGACAGGACAAATTTCAGGTTTGGCAGGCAAAATGAATAACAAAATAACATGCAAAATTTACTGGAATGACCTCCTTTTATCATGCTCCTTTACTATTGCAGGCCTCTCACCAATGCAACCTGGGTTAGAGTCCCGAGTAGCTTGGTGTTGTGAGTGAGTTAAGTCGTTTGTTGGTTCTCCTGTGCTTCCAGGGTTCTCCGGGTTTTCCAGCTTTCCTCCCTCTGCAAAATCCAGTGGAAGAAGAGCCACTCTGTGGAAAACCCTCGAAGCACAGGAGAGAACCAGGAAGCACCTCTACTAAGAGATCCAACAATCTAAGGCTGCGTTCATAATGTATGGCAGGGGAGGTGAGGGGGGGTCCAAACGCAAACAGTACTGTTTTGCTCAACTAAAACGTGGCTGCCGCAAAAACACACTTATAGAGCACTCAAGATATAGAATAATCGATTTAAATTCATACGATATCCTCACCTTCAGACCCTGTTTTCTAGTGTTAGTAAGCTGGCCTTCCTTGGTCAGGTCTTGTGATGGAATAACGATCCCTTGCGATTTGAAAGACGTCTGCGTCTCATTAGCCCCTTTGGGTAGCTTCTTGCCGACCTTGAGCTTAACCTTTTTGAAATCCTCCTCCCTCTGTTTCTTTTTCCTTTTGTTTTTCCCCATTTTTTTGAAGAAAATCAAGAAAATCTCGCTGCACTTGGAATTCTCACGTGCGTTTCGCCATGCTTGAACCCGCGATGACCTCCGGTAGCGGTTCCTCCCATTGGACTATGACATGCGCATTAACGCCTTCATTTTTGAAGGTCTCATTTAAGCGCGAACAAGATGGCGGCCTCCACAAGGGACTTGAAATAACTTACGTAAAGTTGGTTTTTTGAACTATTTAGCTTCGTTAAGGCGTTCAAAAGGTAACTGAAACTTAGTAAGTTAATATTTCTTTCTTTTCAATTGATTTTCGATTCATTTATTTTATCTTTCTGACATCTAAGGTCTTGCTGAAGTCTGTGTCTGTTAAAACTTGTTAACATTGTCTATCACAAGTTAATTCGTTTTTTGCCCTTAGAATTATTCAACTTGTTGCTAAAAAAACTCACCCAAGAACCTCTTTTTATATCTATTTTACATTATTCAGGTATTAGACTTAATTTTCAATTTGATTTTGAAGAAAGAAGCTTATGTCATTTGCCAAGGCGCATTTGACAACAGATCACACGATAACCGTTTATAGTAATCTGTAGATATATTAATAGTCAACCTAGTATTCTTTACCAAAGAGTATGAATTATACTCCTAAGGCATTTTATACGTAACATACAGTTTTGCATCTAATCTTAATTATACCATAATCATTTGGTGATATTCAGTCTATGAGGGGGACAGAAGATAAATCCTAGTATACAGTAGTTCTATTTCACCCCGGCCTGCTCTCAGTCTGACCTCTAGCTCAGCTGGTAGAGCATCGGTAGTACAATTCCGAAGGTCGTGGGTTCGATTCCCAGCGAGCTCGGAAATTATTGTTTCCGAATTTAATTCCAAGGACTTTCACCCGGAATAACCTCGTTCCCAAGCACTATAACTTTTCTATATTTCTATATCTTCATATACAGTAGTTAGACTACTTTAGGAGATAACTAGCTAAAGAATAGAATGAAGGGGACAGACCATCATCTGTCACACTGATTCTCACTAGAATAGTTCATTCTCACCTCCACATTTTCCAAAGGTTTTTGGGGAGAGGTGGTGGGGATAAATACAGGAGTGATCAAGAAAAAAAGAATTTATCATCTAGCCAAGTAATACTATTATTATTATTCTTATTATTCTAACAAAAGTTACAGACTTCTTACAAGTATCTTAACTATTACGATCCAGTTATTTTGTTTTGTTTTTTTTGCTACAGTTTGTTTTACATGTATATTTTTTTGAAATCTTAGTAGCCTTGATGATCTGAGAATGGCTAGTAGTACTACCCCTCAGTTACAACACAGCACCCCAGAAGGGATTATCAAAAAATGCACAACCTATGCAAACCTTCTCACAGAAGCAGCAATAGGTAAGTGTTAATATATAGTACATGTATTATCTCACAGTTTACAGGAATTGATATTTAGTCTGGTCATAGCAAGGGGTCTATAAAAATCTAATGGGGTTTACAAATGCCTGGTTAGACGATGGAAAGCCTAACAGGTTTTGCCACCTAATTGATAAGGAATTGATTTTTAGTCTGGTCATAGCAACGGGTCTATAAAAATCTAATGGGGTTTACAAATTCCTGGTTAGACTGTGGAAAGCCGAACAGGTTTTGTAGCCCAATTGATAAGGAATTGATTTTTAGTCTGGTCATAGCAACGGGTCTATAAAAATATAATGGGGTTTACAAATTCCTGGTTAGACGGAGGAAAGCCTAACAGGTTTTGCAACCCAATCGATAAGGCAGCGGATAGATTGAATTAGAATTTAGGAGTTGATTTTTGTGAAGGAAGGAAAAACTCTTGAAGCACAGAGTGTGAGGAAGTACGTACATTACCAGTGAAAAACACTCATGAAGCATATGAGGGTTAACACAATTTGCGAGAGTGTTTACATGGTGCAATGAAGATGCAGTTATTGAATTCTACTTTTGCAACGATTGCTGCAACTTGTTTCTCAACATTTAAAAAAAAAATGTACTGTAGGTTACACACTGCAATGCTCCATGCAACTTGTGTTGCAAGCTCCATTGCAAGATAAGTTGCAGAGAAAATTACAAAATTGCTCCATGTAATTGCACCATTTTGCATTTTTAGTCAGAAAAGACAAACTTATTTATCAATTTTTAATTTTTATAGCTGATGAAAACAAGCTTAAAGCAGCTCAAGAAATAAGTGAAAATTTTGAGGTTGGTAACCAAGTATTGTAATTTTTACCATTGATTAAAACCTGCAGAAATGTAGTTTATGATCAGAAAAAGCCCATTTTGGAGTTCCAAATTACCACTGTGCTCCTTGATTACAGACTTATTTACTCAGGGTTAGACTCGTACCAGTGCCTATATTCACAAATACTAACGGTAAAGTAAAGGATGCACAGCTTAACAAAACAGACAATTTGAAATTCCACAGACCTTCACTAGAACACATGAATATTCTACACAAAATCTAAGCTAACCCTGAGCAACAGAGAACTCGAAAGTTCAAGTGCATCACCACTGCCACTTGTTGATTACTTTTATTTTTTCCTTGCAGACTATAGTTCAGTCGTCTAGCTATCCTGCCTTTCTGGAGCATGCCATCCCAAAATTTCTTCTATTCCTTAGAGAAGGAGAGCCCCAGTTTGTTGCAGAAAGCACTGTACAGGTTTGTTATGGTACCTTTTTCGGGTTCTAATATTTATTCATTAAGTAAGCATTCAATATCTTTAATGTATACTTTTTATGATAAAATTTTATTTTATTATTAGTTTATGCTTGAATTTTTATAAATTTTATAGCGATTTTGTAAAGAGCCATTGAGCTTCTGGAAATGGCACTTCATAAATGTTAACTATTGTTATTATTATTATTATTTTTATTTTTATTTTTATTTTTATCATTAAAAAAATAAATTATTTTTATCATTATTATAATAATAATAATTATTATTATTATTTGAGTTTAAAATCTCTAAAAACTTATAAAATTAATATAAACCCATTAACATTTTTTTCATTTCAAGTGCCGTTCAATTGCAATTAAGATACTTTGTACAATTTACAGTATCTTCTCTAAAAAAGAAATGGTTCTCATTTTTAATATTAATGATTAAACATTTCCATTTTTATTTGTTTTTTTAGCAAATTCGTAAGCTTCTTCTAGAAATTCTTCACAGAATTCCTACAAATGAACACCTTCGAGCACATTTTAAGGTTAGTTTAGCAAAATTTTTAAAAAACAAACACTGTTGTGTTATGTACACTTCTTCTGTGCAACAGTTTTGTGAAATGATTCCCCATACATGTGTACATGTACATGGCTTAAGATAACAGCTGGTAAGTTGACAGTCATGACGACCAGTCAAATCAGTTTTTAGTTCAGTCATACTGTACTTCATTTCTAGTTCAACCTTACTGGTCAAAATGACCAGCAAGGCAATTATTGACTGGACAAGTTCCAATTCTGGGCAGAGATTGTTCGATGTCCTGCTGTTACGTTAAGTTTTGTATCATATTTTAGAGAAATTATTGATTTTATTAATAACATATTTTTATTTTATTCCACAGTCCATACTTTCATTAATGTTTCATTTGCTGGAGGTAATTTTATTATTAGAATTATTATTAAATATTTGGATTTCATGATATTGATTGTAATAATAAAGTCGATGATTACATATTTACTATCTATATAGCAAATCTATGACTTCTAATATCACAAGGTTGGAGTTGGGGGGGGGGTACTCTTGCCCGTTTAGGGTAGGGGTGTGCCGCCGAGCCCTCCGAACCCTGACCCTGTTCCAGAGTAAAAATCGCTGAAATTCATACCCTGTTCCAGAGCAAGATCTCTGAAAACCCTGTTCCAGAGAGGAGAGAGCGTGATTTCATATACACTGTTCCAGAGCGAGCGCAATTTTATATACCCTGTTCCAGAGTAGAATCGCTGAAAACCATACCCTGTTTGGGGGCACGTACCCCTATAGCAAATATAGGGGAGTACCCCCTCCCCCCCAGGGGTTGCAAGGTTTTTTTATTTCCAATTACAGCAATGTAAAATAATACATGAAAAAACATAAGGGACTTCTAATATTGATATTGTAGTATTATTTTAGACTTGACGTCAGCAGCATACAGTCTGTACACCACCCATTCTACCCCGTAGTTAGAGAGACAGATCTAAAGTTATTATTCTTTTCTAGATTGAAAATGAAGAAAATGTACTTGTTTGCCTTCGAATCATAATAGAGTTACATAAACAGTTTAGACCTCCTCTTCAGGCAGAGGTAAGATAATACTGTCCACAACCTGCTTGTACAGCGCAACGCACAAAAGTATGACCACACTTACTTTTGTTCTACTCAAGTTTGTCAACCAATCAGCTTACAAATCCAAAACAATAGGATTCAAGTTACATGTATTGAAATTCCATAAAAGCTATTTAAGAAGATGAAATGATGAAAGAGAAAGAAGAATAAAGTATATTTACACAAATAAAAAAATAAAATAAAATAATCTCAAGTATTCACGGTTAGAGTAGAATGACAGTAATGTATACCCACACTTCTATGAACGGGTTCTGTATGTTAAACCAACACATTTTGATGTGAAATTGGCTGGTTTTACCAAATTAGGTATGCAAAGGCTTGTGTGGCAGGAAAAAGCCCATGCATTGAAGTATACAAATACATTAAAATAATGTGGTACTTTTGGGTGTTGCACTTAACTCAAATACTGTACTACAGGGTTTATGTTTTGCTTACAAGCCCATTAACTTAAATAATACTTATGATTTACTTATGACTTGGTATAAAATGATGTTTGGTATGATCTTTTTCAAGGCACTTATTGCTAACTCTTATGAATATACATGTAGATCACAGTGGAATATTGGTTGGGATTTTTTTTATGTAGGGCATTTCTTGTTTGTTTTAGATTCAACACTTTTTACAGTATGTCAAGACCATCTACAAAGAACTGCCTGTCAATGTTGTAAGTATTTAACAAATAAAATACATTTACTGTGTTTGCACAGGGAAATGCAAACACGGCTCTCGGCCAATTGCAGTGAGCGTACTATCTGAATTATTTTATAATAAAACTTGCAATTCTTTCAGGGCTTAAAATAATGGATGGACATCAAACGATATGTTTGGCTAGAACTGGGACTTGTCCGGTCAAATCTTTGCCTTGCTAAAATTTATTTGGCTTGTGATTATGACTGGCGACTGATTGGCAAGCTTCGATTGGCCATAATTTTAAGCCCTGATCTTTTTATTATCTATCGTGATCTACTGTAGGTCCATAGCTTTGTCGAAATCACATAATCATCCTCTTGACATTATCTTCAATAGAAGCAACATTTTGAAGTGGTCTCCATATCAGCAACTGGTTTCCTTCCTACCGAGAGTCAAGGAAATAATCTGCCAGGAGCGTCATCCCAAGGAAACACCCCTGTAGGCACACCAGCAGCATCTCCAATGAGTAGTGGCGACGGCGGTGGAGGAAAGACAGGACAACAGGTTTGAAATCATCCTCTTTTATTTTGAGAGAGAATTCTTTTCGTATTCAAGCAGTGAGCGCCAAAAACTATTTTCCTGAAGAAAGGCTATAGTACAAGGCTAAAATCTTGTTATATTCAGAAAGTTTAACTTGTTTGAAAGTTGAGGATGACCAATGAGAGTGGAATCAAAGTGTTAACCCAAAGCAAAAATTTTATTCGAAAATGAGGTTTAGGCCTTCATTTGCTTATTTCCCATATATTTTCTATAAAAAAGCCTTACAAAGCAACATTCTAACACAAATGCAGCAAAACATCTTTGTACAATTGAAAATACTGCTTCAAACAGGCATTTTATCATAGTACACCAGTTTCTAACTGTTTAAAAAGGTTTTGAGTGTTAACCCAAAACGAAAAATTGGGATCAAAACTCATACGAAAGTCTAGTTTTTGGCATTTTTTGCCATTATTGCTCATCATTGAAAAAAATTTCCTCTTAATAGCTAATTGTGTATTTTTGAGTAGATACTCTGTTTTCTAGTTGTACATTAAACAAGAGCTACAATTAATGTACATGTTGCTCCATGCTGGCCTCAAATTTGTGTAAAAAATTTATTGAAGCTTACCCTGGGTGTATGAATCTATATATCAAGGAACAATGTTTTTGAAAAATTCCAAAAAAGGTCGAATCTTGATGAGCAGTTGTTAAAATGATGTTTGTTTGATTCTGCAGACAACTATTCCTAAAGCCATCAGTTCTCTCAAAGTTCTTGCTGAGTTACCAATTATTGTCGTGTTAATGTATCAGGTAAATTTGGACTTGTTCTATGATGGTTTAAGCCACTCTTCCTATTCATCTATCCACCACAGTGTCTTCTTTTCAGTTGCTTGAATTCAATCAATCAATCCCATCCTATCCCATCCATCTATATCTTTTATCCCTATCCAGCTATCTCCCAACCCTATTCAGCTGCCAAAAGAAATATTTTTTTCTTTCACTGCTTTATAGCTTTACAAGCAGAATGTTTACACTGTTGTGGCTGATTTCATTCCACTGGTTATGAATACCATTGTCCTACAGCCATCTTTAAATGCAAGGTAACTGCATGATTATTTGGTTGTTCAATAAGCTCAAGTCCAAGTATATTTTTAATCCAACTATTCGAATTAGTATATAAATAATCCAGGAGAAAGCGTGGAGCAGGTACAAATATCTTGTACATTAAAAAACGGTTTTGAAAACTAGTCATTTTGAAGCCTTCTTTTGGGGGAAAAGGTATGCTCAGTTGGATAATAAATAACTTATTAGACATTTTAGGGCTGAATACGAGTGGACAATTTTTCTCATCTTTGCAAGCAGACTCCAAAAAATATTCACCCATATTTTACCCTAAAGTGTCTAATAAGATTTGTAGCATATATTGGAGATTAAATGAAATTTCTGACTTTTTAAACTAGGGGTTGCTCTGAACATTTCAATTTTGGTCCTGATACTCATTTGGTTAATGTTCATGATAATATAGAACCCTTGCATGTAACGTCAAAGCAGCTCAATATAGAGAACAAAAAAAAATAATTTTATTCTCATGAGAATTAGAAACCTTATTTTTATTGTTCTCCAAAGCTGATATGTGTAGTGATATTACACTCACCTATTACTTAATTGTGGAGTCTTGAGTTCAAAAAATAAACTGTGTGTTTATTTGTTTCTTTATTTGCATAAACTTGAACTCGAGGGGTATGAAGTAAATCATAAATTTCATTTTTTTTTTTTCATTTCAACAGAAAATCCCCTACATTCAACAAGGAGGTGTATGTTGACTTTGTCGCTGCTCAGATCAAGACCCTTTCTTTCTTAGCATACATCATCAGGATTTATCAGGTATAGTACGTGATTTATTGTACAATATAATATGATAATCAGTTTTATTACAGCTCTTAGGCTTTTGCAAGTTTTTTTTTCTTGTGTGGAAATAATGCATGGCTTGTGTATAGTTCCTTGCATTGATGTCCTAGGGTGATTTTTCTGGGGAACAAAGCAATTGGCTGTCTTTTTTATCCAAAGAAACCTCTATTGTTAGTCCCCCAAAACAATTCCTCTTGGGACGAAGTGCAAGAGGTCTATAGGGACTGCTACAAAGGAGGGTAGGGTGGTACGTAAGCTCTACCATTGCTTCAATACGATATTAATAAACTATAATAACAGAACAGACTACAGCTGTATCTCGAGTGTCCTATTCTAGTTTGTCTTTATTAAATTCACATGTGGAAGAAGTACATGCAACATACTGTATCATTATACACAACTGGACTAATGACAGTCTAATTTATGATAATCAGATTACCTATTGCAACAACTTCTTTATATATATCTTGTGTGGCACCTAGAATAGTAAACATGGGTGAATTACAAATGTCATGACAGTGACTGTAAATCCTGCCCCACTTTGTAAGAATATGCGCAATGCCTGGTTGTACAAAGCTTAGATAGCACTATCAGGCGGTAAACCTTACCGTAAATACAGTGGATAAATTTATGTATAACAGCATCAACTTATTTACTGGATAAGGATTTATCTGTTGGATATCGCTATCCAGCCTTCATACACCTTGGCCCTTATTTACACTATTCCTTTTCTCCATCACAGGAAATGGTTAATACCTATTCTCAGAACATGGTTGGTGGTCTGCTTGGTCTTTTAAGATACTGCCCACAGGTAGGTTTCATTGATAGGGCCTTTGTAGGATGTGATCACATGACTACTAATAATGTCATCAATGTTGTAATAACAGGAAGTAGCTCACTTGAGAAAAGAACTCCTGATTGCTGCAAGACACATTTTGGCCACCGACCTCAGAAATAGTAAGTAGAATATCAAGGCTATAAAAGAATGTTTATCATTATTTTTCATAATCACTGCTGAAATGTTAGGTTTGAATGGGTGGGCCATCAAATAATTTTTTTTTCAAAACCTAAAAAAAAACCCTCACAGCCCCCCCCCCCCTCCCCCACAAGATAAATTATGAACGCTCCCTAAGGAGATTGGAATATACTTCTGCGAACCTTCTGCTACCATTGTTAATGTTATCTTATTTAATAACTGTTACTAATAACATCACTAAACATTATCTTGTCAAGTTGAGAATATCTTACTCATTCACTGCACTCACTCATAAGATATTATGAAGATAAAATTTATATCTCTGCGTGGCCTTGTAATATCCTCTATTTTTTCTAGGATTTGTACCTCATATTGACCAGTTGTTTGACGAAGAAGTTCTGATCGGAACTGGCTGGACCACTAAAGAATCTCTACGCCCACTTGCTTACAGTACATTAGCAGACCTGGTGCATCATGTGCGCACACACCTACCTCTTCCTCATCTGTCATTGGCTGTCAGCATGTTTTCAAAAAATGTGCACGATGACTCATTGCCTGTCAGCATACAAACAATGTCTTGCAAGGTAAACTGTTAGTTACTCTTATTGGCCAGGAAATAATATCTCCTGGAATAAGAAATAGAAAGAAAGGGAAAACATGTTTGCATTCATGCTGTGTGCAATCAAAAAGCATGCAGGGATTTAGGATATTAAGCATGAAAAAGCAAAGTGCATACAGCACAGCTAGCAAGATTTTTATTTCTTTTATAAAATTAAATAGCATCATTTTTGATATGAATGACAAAATATAAAGTACTGATGCTTGCTGTGTGCTCTAATGAAGCATGCACCAACCAGACCATTGGTAAGATAATTACTGTGTGCAATCAAAATGCATGTATAGGATATTAAGCATGAAAAAGCAAAGTGCATACAGCACAGCAAGCAAGATTTTTATTCATTTTATAAAATACAAATTAGATAGCATTATTTTTGATATGAATGACAAAATATAAAATACTGCCGCTTGGTGTGTGCTCTAATAAAGGGTACACAAACCAGACAATCGGAAAGATAATATAAACAGTTATTTTTGTATATTGCAGCTTCTTCTAAACCTAGTTGAATGCATAAGACAGAAGAGCGACGAACAAGGATCAGTAAGTACAATCATAACAGATATAATAATTTTGTACATGCATGTACGATATGAATTGTAAACTAATTCCCATAATAAAAAATAATTATTTTTTCAGGGGAGAGAGATTTTGATGAGGATGTTGGAAGTATTTGTAAGAAAATTCCAGTCCATTGCCAAACATCATATTCCAGCCATTTTCAAGAAATGGTATGTACTATATGTACTTCCAACTTTGGGTAGTGGGGAGCCATCAGAAACCTAGACTGCACAAGAATTGTAATTTGACCTTGATAGCCATGTTCATTTTCTTTGGGGAATGAAAAGATATTTGAAAGGCTATTGTTCTCTGCTGTTTTCTGATTGGCTCCGCTACCCTAAGTGGGGATGTATTGTTTTTATTCTACAATTTGATTGGTTCTCACTGTCGAAGTGGCCCCAGTTATAGTAGTTGCACTGTAATACTTGTACCTCTTTTTAGCTTGTTGTCAAACCAGTTTATTAATTAAAAAATGATTTTTTTAATCCATAGTCAACAAGCAGCAGACAATTCCTCATCGTCATCTGCCTCAGCATCGTCTACGAACTCCACAACAGCCCAGGCAAACACAACAACAACAACTACTACTACTAGCACAACTTTAAGCTCTACCACCAGCACCACAACTTCCACCATGTCATCTGTTGGTGCATCACTGTCTACTGTGGGTAATGGAACATCTACCACAGGTGGAGGACTGTCTACAGCAGGAAGCACAAGCAGTAGTTCCTCTGAAACAACGACTCAGTCTGACCAGGATACTACTACTAAGGTTGGTTGACATTCTACATAGTTCCTCTTTCCTATCAAATTAGCAGCCATGATGTATTATGAGCAAGATGTTGTGGTATCTAGTACATTAGGGACTTTAAGATTTGCAAAGTGTAAAGTGCGGAAGTGTAAATAATTTCTCTTTAGGGTTCTGTTCATTGGAGATTTCATTCAAACACTGTCAGTAAAGTCAACTCATCCACAGGGAAGACAGATTTTAAAGACTCGAAACCCCAAAATGAAGTTGTTTACACTTCCAGTTGACGTCGCCGTTGCAGATTTTGCAAATCTTAAAGTCCCTATTATCTAGTATCTGGTACATAAGATATATACACCTAAATTTTATAATATTTATACATTAGTCCATTCTATAGTTTAGCTTAGTTTTAATTAAATTGTTAGCCATTTGTATCATTTAATTTTGCAGTTTTGTAAGGTGGTGAAATATCTTTTGTAAAAAGCACTATCGTGCAATGTTTTGGAAATAGCACTATATAAATAAAAAGATATAACTAGCTAAAAACTAGTGTGAGCTGCGTCGGTGTTTCTAATGAAACAGTAATGATGAAAAGGTAAATTATATACCGTGAAAAGATGAAAAAACTTACTGACGTTTCGGACGCTAGTCCTTCGTCGGAGTAAAAGAGCATAAATAACTTTACTATCATTATTGCTATTATTAATATATTATTATTATTAATTTATTATTATTGTTATTATCTAACGAATAAGACCAACTTAAATCTTCTTTCTTTCTTTCCTTTTAGAAGCCATTACTTCATACTTCATCAGGTAACAAAAATATCATTTTTAAGGATATTAATTTGTTGATTGTTTTATTTTGACATTATTAGGAAATGACAGAAAGAAATAGATCTGCGACCGACAACCTTTTTTGAAACCTTTTTTGTATACTTGTACTTGTCTACCATGTAGTTACGAATAAAATATTCTCTATCTAATGTGCAATGATTAATACTGTACACAGCAGCAATATCCAACACTTTCTCTGTTCCTGACTGCCGAAGTATGGTAAAGACATTGGTTTGTGGGGTCAAGACTATAACATGGGGCGCTGGTTCATGTAAGGTCCCTGGAGGTCAGTAGTAACATCATCATTGTACAGTATGATTCAAAAACGATGAACAAACAAGTCACTCATCAGAAGGATTTAGTGAGCTACTATTACAAACACCTAGGGTTAAAACACTTATCACATTAGGTGACCGCGCATTTGTATCCGCAGCGCCTAAGTTGTGGAACAATTATTTACCTAGAGAGATTCGTGAAGCACAATTTATAGGTATTGAAACAGGCGCAATGAAACAGGCGCAATATAGATAATAAATTATTATTATTATTATTATTATATTATTTAACAATTTTTAAATTGAAAGCAATGGTTTTTATGTTTCTGTTGCCATTAATCCCATACCAAGCCCGAAATAGAACTATAGGAGATATGAATTCAATAGGTTAGTGAAAGTTCAAAACAATTATGGACTTTTACTAAGGATTTCCCCAAACTTTGCCAGACTGTGCATTAATTTTTGGCATATTTTCTTCTGTGCTGGCTGGGCTTGGTATGCGACATACCAAAGGTTTATCAAATTGAGCCGATCCTCGCCGTATGTGAAGCAACTTATGCAGCTGCAAATTGAAAGCCTCAGAAAAAATTCTGAAAGGTTTGACACCAAACCTTTTTGAAATAGCTGTATTATAATACTGTTCAATATATTTTATTTTGTAGGGAACAAACCATTCCTTCCGTTAGAAACCCAACTGTTCACAAGATTGCTGAAATATGGTAAGAATAAAATGATGCTCATCAAGTATGTATATTGGGCTGGCCACTGTATGTAATCTATGGGGTTAGGGGAAGGGATGATTAAATGATTACAATATAATAGTAGGAATAATGGAAGCTAAATCAGGGGAAAAATTGTTTTATTATATTTATGATATGACTAAAAAGAATGAGAATTTACAAATTCATTTCATTTCGAAATAACCTCATTACAATGGTCCATCAATTGTTGGGTTTCAATCAGCTG